CTAGGTTCCACAGTCCCAGATCAGAGTCTTGTATTGGTAGCTGTCACCGTAGCCCTTAATGCTGGCTGGGAGTTAAAAAATGACAGCCAACCTAGTGTTCTTTCTCTGCAAGGAGAGCTGGATCCTGCTCAGGTTTGTTTTGATTTTTTATCACTATTTCAAGTGGGATCGTTGCCGTGGGGGAGCTGGGCAAAGAAAGGATTTGCATGAAGCTCTCGGTGCTGCGGGGTTGCTAATGGCGAGCGTTATTTCAGCTGGCAGTAAGTTTCATAACCTTGGCCCAGCTCCTGTGAATGTTCTGTTCCTCAGGGTCATGAGTCTCTTTCCCCTTCTTCCATCCCATCTCCCTCTCCCCAAACTGGTTGGAAATTTCATTGTTCCAGTGGAGTATATCCGTCATGTGAGGTCATCGCTGCATAAGGAGAGGTGATTGATTGCTTAGGTCACTGGGGCCTGTCCCATGCTGGGCTTTGAATGCTGGCTTGGAGACCTTGAAGTGGACTCTGTGCTCAAAGGCGAGGCGATGTGGGGTGCAGAGGGGCATGGTGATGCATTCCCGGCAGCTTGAGTCGCCGAGCAAAGAGACTGCTGCATTCTGAACTAGCTGGAGCTTTCTGAGAGCAGACGGCTTCATTCCTAGAGGCACAGTATCACAGCAGTCAAGCTCGAGATGTTACAAAAATACAGATAGATCATCATCTGCCAGCCGAGCCAGACAGAATCAGGTACAACTCTTTTCCCAGCCCCGGATGGAAGGAGACTCTACCCGCTTCTCAGTAACATGGCTTGTGTGTGCTCGGCTTCATCCAATTGCTCTTCAGTCAGAGCTGATCTCGGCTAGGCATCGAGATATCTGTGAGATTCTCAGATTTTAAGGCCAGAGGGACCATTTTGATCATCAAGTCTGACCTACAGCAGAGCACAGGCCAGAGAATTTCACCAGTTTCATTTCCTGCGTCAAGCCCATAACTTCTGATTGAACTGTAGCATCTCTTTCAGAAATATGGCCATGCAAAGGCTCCAGGCAGTAGGGAATACACCACCTGCCTAGGTGAATTGTGCTAGTGTGTGACCCTCTTTATTAATAGCATTGTTGCTCATTTGAATTTGTTAAAATTCAGCATTTTGTAGCAGAAGGTTACAGATACCATTTGATGCAAGGCAGCTACGGCGTGGGTATTACCTGCACACGGCTGCCACCTCGGCTCTTTTATTCCTGTGACAGCTTTTATACTTGGATAGCATTTATCTTTGGGACCACAGTATACAAGAATCCTGGACACAGAGAAGGAGTTATTGGCAGTGAATCCTAGGGCTTCCCCAGGGTGCGGTAGCATCTGAACTCTGGAGCTCAGGGTGTTACATTCAGGGTTTAGTCTGTGCTCCCTGCTCATCCTAGCCATTAGTTAGGATGTAAATTCTCAGCCCCATTGGTGAACTGGGATACATGCTTTGGGGCATGGCTACCGAGATCTGCTCTCTCATGTCCCAGCAGCGGTGGATCTGTGCTGTGGGAGACTTACAAAGAGGGAGGAAGCACAGCTGCATCTCTGATATTGGGGAACAGCAGCAGGATTTGAGCTTCCATCCTGCAAATGCAATAAGAGCAGCTCCTAATAGATCAGCCCCAGGGATCTCTGGTCTGGACCAGCAGTGGGGTCCATATGCAGTAGCAAAGAGCAGTGTAGTACTTATGGCTTTCAAGGACCAAGATTCACAAACTGCGCTCAATGAAGTGCCCTGGGGAAACAGCTTTGTCATTCACACTCTGTCATCTGTGCATCATGGGACTGGAACACTGCGATGAAGGCTCTTTACCTAGAGTGAAAATACACAGGTTCATCTTTGGACCCTGGGAGTAGCCCTGTCCATTTTTATCACAATTAGACCTGTGAAAAAGATCTGAAAGCAAGAGCCAGGCCATGTGGTACTGGTGCAGAAATACAGTCTCTCTGCTCTGAAACAGAAAGGTCTCTTGAATGGTGTAAGTTGTGTGGACACTGGGATTTATACATCCATTGGCGTCCCCTCCTCCCCTCTGAAGATCTACCAGTTTGTTCAGCGTCCGCACCGGGAGCTGCATGCAGGGCTGAATGAAGGGCATTTGTTACACTTGCCCTCCATTGCAGCAGGATCTGTGCCCGGGACACAATCCCCACTGCTGGTGGCTAACTGCAGAGTGTCCCAGATGTGCTTTGTCTGCTGCTTTGTCAGTAAGCCACAGGGACATCCATGTTCTGTTTTGCACATCAGCGCTCCATGCACAGTGGAGTCCAGCCCTCTCTGGCTGGCATTTCCGCCTAACACCTTCCTTTGCTCTCATGGCATTAATGCTACGGGAGACACCTCTGTGCTTCTCCCAGCTCCTCCACAACCACACCTTGGTGTGCTAGTGAAGAACACACTCTCCGTCTCCGGCCATGATATGATTTGCAAACCAGAATGTATTGACTGAGACCGACTGACATTGCCTCATTCCTGCAGTCACCTGAAGCCACCCTTGGGATAGGGGCACTGTGAGTCACCTGCTTTTCACCATTGGCAGCAGGACCTGTGCACAGCAGTGTCTCAGGTCAGACCTGATGCTTACACCCGATGTCCAGGCTGTCACTTCCACAGTATTATGTGTACATGAGGAGGCCAGTCCTGAGGCTCACTGCTTCCCCTCAGCTCCAGTTACAGCCATTACCTGCTCTGTAGAGCTGAAATTCAGACTACCAGGTGTGAAAGCAGTTCAGGATTTGGCTCTGTAGGGTTTCTTATTCCCAGGCTTTAGACCCTGGGAATCCATGAACTGGGTGCTGTTGCTGGAGCTCATGATCTCAGCCAAGAAGTACGGAGACATCTCCATTATAAGACATCCCAACAAACGACAAGAGTGCAGTGAGATGGGTGACCCAGCAGACTGTGCACCTACGCCCAGGCATGTTTCTGCTGGTAGAGCCATCTATGTTAGGAGGAGTGATAGTGGTTACACGTGCACCCCTAACATACCACACTGCCCCATGGGACTGGCACTGAGGTCTATCTGCACCCGGAGAGGATCTCCACTCCTGGGGTGGCATTGTCCAGATACACATCTCCTGGACCCTGAAGACCAGAGCTGTAATTGAGAATGCCGTGCCACAAGCAGAGCAGGCTCTTCAGCCCAGGGAACTACTGTCCCGTGATGAGTCCCATGCATGGCCCTAGGCACTCCAGGCCACCTTGAAACCACTCAGGTGGCTTGTGTGCCCCCCAGTCTGGGGACTCACACGAGGAGGTCCCCAATGCTTGGAATTCCCTCCCTTTCCAAAGTCCAAATGAAATTCTTTCACAGATCTGTGTTGCCAGACGTGATCTTCCACAGCATTGTGATCATAATCCAGATGGCCAAGATCTCGCCAGCCTCTGGCTTCGGAAGAAACTTGCTCCGTTCTGCTGCCTCTCTGCAGAGCTGCATTTTAATACTGAGTCCCCTCCAAGGCTTAGAGGTTCAGGAGCAAAATACAAAGAAATGCTGAGAATAGCTGCTCTTTTCTCCTCATCTTCATCTCAGGATCCCTCCAGAGACTGATCTTGCCCCAGAGGGAAGGGGCAGGGCACATTAGCCGACAATTCCTTTTTTTTTCTGTGAACTTTGTTTAAATATTTAGCAGAAGAAAACTAAAAATATCCCCAGTTAATGCAGCAGGAGCTAGACAGCTGCTCACTCTTGGGTGCCCTTCCTCCCAGCCCCTCTCCTCAGGTGTGCATCATAGGGTGCCAGTCCCTTACCACAGCAAGTACCAGCCTCTTCCCTCCTTCAGGAGGGGCTGTAGTTTTAGTTCAGGGCATGACCTGAGGAGGAGGGGATGGCAGTAACCCTTTGGGAGCCGGGAGGTGCAACACAACTGGCTCGGGCTGGAAGCACAGGGCATCTGGCCTCTGCGTTGACTCCCTCCGCCAAGCACCTTCATTCCTCCATTCTGGCAGCCACAGAAGGGCATGACGGTGGGCTGTTGGCATTCGTGCTTTCTCCTTCACAATGAAGGAGCGAGCTGAATATCTTTAATTGTTTTTGTGTGTGTGTGTGTTGCATGCTATCTTTGTTGAGGAGAGGATCCCGGCTCAGGCACATAACAGCTCACTAGGGAAGGGCCAGTGCTGGGCTGTGCCCAGCCAAGGGAAGGGGAAGTTGGGACGAAGGGCAGCCGTGCTACCTCTGGACTGATGCCAGAGGGTGGCGTGTGGCTGGTGCAGAAATCCAGGCGGGAGGACTAGCCCTTTACCCCCTTTACTGCTGCTGCCTAGTGCTGCTCCTCCGTCGGAGGTGGGAAAGAAAGGGGAGGAACAGGGGAGAAAGAGAGAGATGGGACAGCACAGAGGACACTAGGACAAGGAGTGTGGGAAGGTAATTCCATATTAGCTAAGAGGAAAGTAAATACTAAATATTTGATCGGCATATTTTTGCTCTTAAATTCTTTAGTAAGGCTGGACTTTTCTCGCTGATTCACTCTCTCTTTCTCAGTCTTCTTGGTTTATCACTCTCGTGCCTCCCCTCTCGCTCCCTCACTCTGGCACACAATGAAGAGGCTCTTTTTTAATAAATGGATTACATGCTCTACACTATAAATAAACACAGGAATTAAGATTCCAACTTGTACCAGCGATAATCAAACAAGATGCTGAATCCCCCTCTCGGCCCTCAGACAGGAGGGTCCCCAGGGAAGCTGCACATGTGCCTCTGCACGTGTGCTCCAGAGACTGCTCCTTGCTTTTGCGTGCATATGCTAAGGCGTGTGTTCCTGCGTGGGGCTGGGTTCAGGGGGACGATGCCCCTCTGTGTAGGACCACGTGTGGGCACGGGGGGCACGAGAGCAGGAGCGGGTGTGTGGGTGCTGCATTGCCCTGCACATTTTTCCCCCCGTGGTGGCACGCACTGCCTCCACTGGGCGAGGGGACACTGACACCTCTCCCTTTTGCTTCCCAGTGAAAATGAGACAGGATCCTCGCTGAGCAAAGACGCTGTTGCATCTGCGATGGAGCCCAGTGCCTGGTAGGTTCACAGCTTCCCACGTTCGCCGGCGACACGGGAAGACGACGGGAGCGTGGGCGGCAGGCTGCTCTGAGTCTTTCGGCAGGAGGGACATTTCAGATAAGTCTCTCTTCTTCCTCCTTACGCCCTGCAGCAGGATGCCTCCACTCCTCTCCTGCGTCCACTCCCTGCAGCTTTGGCATCTCCTCCTCCTGGTCTCGGCCGTCCCTCCTCCGGGCGTCTGGTCTCTTCGCTCTCGGGGCCTGGCAACCGCTCGGCCTCTTTGTGCCCGTCGGAGCCCCTCGGCCCCACGGCCCATTTGCATCTGGGACAGGACCTCGCTGCCAGAGAGGGATCCCCGCTTCACCCTGCTGCGCCAGCGGGCTCTGTCCCCCCGGGGGGGAGAGCTGCGGCACGCCGTGCGGCCGAGGCG